GGGGACCGCTGGGGAGAGAGGGGCAGGGCAGGGGGCAGGGAGTGAGGACCCCTGTGCCTCCCACCTCGTACAGCTTCAGGAACGGGAGGCCAGACGAGGTCAAGTGTCTGAGCCACTGAGTCAGGAAAATGGGGCACTCCTGAGCCAGCTCAGCACCCCAGGATGGCTCTGGGAGGTCCTACAGGCCCAGGCTGGCCCTGAGAGCTGTTTCAACAGCCACTGCCCTCCCCATGCCCAGAGTCTGGGTAAAATCATGTCAGACTTTTCCAAGGCAGGCTCCTCAGGGATACCCTGCCAGGGTCAGGCTGTTCTTGGGACAAGGTCCAACAGCTGACTAAGCTGAAGCCTGTCCCTGAAGCCACCCTTTGGGACAACACTGGCTCCTGTGACTCCCTCCCTGTTCCTGGACATTGCAGGTGGCTCCCTCTCTGCCTGCCTTGCCAGCAGCACTGAGGAGGAGCAGGTGAAGAGGTAAAGGATGGAAGATCACCTGGGCAAGGTACAATTGTCTCCTTTTTGCACGGAGGAGTAGGAGGAAGGTGCTGCAAAGTGACCAGTGTGGCCCCTCCTGCAGCCCAGGCTCTGGCTGAGCCCCCTTCCCAAATAACTGCCTGGGAACACACTCCCAGCCATCCTGGCACCGGCTGGGCACACCTGGCTGAGGGACAGACCCACCTGAAGGGTCCATAGAAGCAGGAAGCAAACTTGGCACTGTAGCTCATCACGGAGACCTGCGGAGCAGAGCAGGGCCATGAGGGCCGGGAGCTTGGAGCCACAGCCACAGAGATTTCCTGCCATGGCTGTTTTATCCTCCCCCTCCCAGACAGGCCTGGCACCTGCTGTTCCCATGGACATTCCTGTAGAGCTGCAGCTCCCTCCCCATGGCTGTGGCTCCTGCCCCTGGCACACACAGGTGCCCAGCTCACCTTGTTGCCCAGGTCGTTGGAGATCAGCGCCTGCTTTATGGCCCCGATGCGCCCGTCCATCATGTCCGAGGGGGCCACGATGTGGCAGCCTGCAGGGAAGGACAGGGGTGCAGGGAAGGACAGGGGTGCAGGGAAGGACAGGGGTGCAGGGAAGGACAGGGATGCAGGGAAGGACAGGGGTGCAGGGAAGGACAGGGGTGCAGGGAAGGACAGGGGTGCAGGGAAGGACAGGGGTGCAGGGAAGGACAGGGATGCAGGGAAGGACAGGGATGCAGGGAAGGACAGGGATGCAGGGAAGCACCCGAGGCTTTGGCTCTGCCAAAAGGTTCTGGTGCCAGCAGTGCTGCTGGGACCAGGGCAGGGAGGGCAGGGGAATAGTCCCACTTAGAATCAGGCCCAATTTGCCTTTGGATCTGCTCAGAGGACCAGGGCAATGATTCTGCCCCTGTACTCAGCACTGGTGAGGCCACACCTCAAGTGCTCTGCCCAGTTGTGGCCCCTCAGCTCAGGAAGGACATGGAGGGGCTGGAGCAGGTCCAG